TTCCCGGCAGGACTTAGTAACGGAGACACGCGTTCTATTCCTAAGGAAATGGGTGCGTGAGGTGGCAAGGCAATCAACGTGTCCACACCAGACAGACTGCTCTCCTTCCTCTGCTTGACTTCAGTCTACAGCCTTGGGGGCTTGGGGGTTCCCATGTGGATCATTTTCTTTCTCCTTGGTAGCAAATAATCAATAGCATCACAACAGCTAGAAGAGCAAAGTGTAACAAAGAAGCAATTTTACTACAGTGACGATACTGGGGAACCAGCCATCTGTGAGTAGGTAGGGAATTCCTTAGCAAAACCGGAGTGCGGAACCTTGGCCACTGATTTGTGGAGCCTCTCCTGTCTGTGTGACTTTCTCCCTCCTCCGTGTCCCACCCAAGAGACCAGTGTTCCTGTACTCTCCTCTTCGCCTCACCAAAGCATCAAACATACCTGCACGAGGTTTACATGATCCATGAGCACAGGACGGGCATTTAAAAATGAATGTGGAACCCCATCTCAGCCATCTGTTTGCTTTAGAACATCCTGGGCTTCCTTTTCCTTACCTTCCAAGTGACAGAATAATGAGCCTACCCAGCCGGCGGCTGACGCTGTGGTTGCTACTGTTAAATGTCTTAGATGGGGCTGGCTCTGCGGCGCTGAAGGTTAAGCCTCTGCCTGCTGCACCAGCATCCCTGTGGGTGCCGGTTCGAGTCCTGGCTGCTCCACTTCCTATCCAGCTCCCTGCTAATGTGCCTGGAAAAGCAGCAGAAGATGGCCCATGTACTTGAGCCCCTGCACCCACGTGGGAGACTCTGGGGAGTGAAAACAGATGGAAGATCTCTCTCCTCCCTTCTCCTTCTGTCTATGTCTGCCTTTCAAATAAATAAATAATCTTTAAAAAAAAAAGTCTTAGCTGGGGCCAGCGCTGTAGTATAAGGGGATAGAGGGCAAAGCCACTGCCTACAGTACCAGCATCCTATATGGGCGCCAGTTTGAGTCCTGGCTGCTCCACTTTTGATCCAGCTCTCTGCTATGGCCTGAGAAAGCAGTAGACGATGGCCCCTGGCTTCAGATCAGCACAGCTCTGACTGTTGCAGCCATGTGGGGAGTGAACCAGCAGATGGAAGACCTCTCTCTCTCTCTGCCTTTGTCTCTCTGTAACTCTGCCTTTCAAATAAATAAATATTTTTAAGAAGTCTCAGGACAAGCTAACTGCTAACAACTTTAGTACCTCAACGGCTTAACAAAAGTCTGTTTCTCATTAACATAGAGTCCACGCAGATGACTCTGATCAGGCATGAATCCTGCTGACCCAAGGATCCTGCCCTTGCATTTAGTGGTGCCACCAACTTCAACGTGTGGTCTTCCAGGAGTTTAAAGGAAAGTCCTGGCTGCTTCAGTGGGGTTTGGAAGCACTTCATTGCTAAGAACCAGGTCCTACCTGGATCCAGGAGGGTCGGAATAGAAGACTTTGTGGCGCGCCCAGGTAGGGATTGGTATCAAATGAGTCTCTACCACAATGCTGTTATTTTTGTTGCTGTTAATTGCTAATCTAGTGTGTTAAAAAGGCAATCAATTTCCAAGCTATAACTCTCGCCCGTTTCCCCAGCAATTTATTGCTTTCACTGCCATTATTCCACAGGTGGGGAACTGTCAGGTTTACGATGAGGGTTATGAAGCTCCTCCACCTCAATATCTGGTTCCTTTGGGTGTGGTGGAGCCCGTCCTGGCCTTGGAAATCCTGACATCTCCCAAAGGTGGGAGCTGTGTCCATAATGAGCTCAGAGCAGGTTCAGAGGCTCCAGGGACACGGCACCCAGTGTGGCCACACGCAGGGCTGGTTGCGGTGCCTCTCTTGCTTTTAAGTCTTGTGGGTAAAGACCAGGATAGGAAGAGGAGGGAGCCTCAAAGGAGCAGTTTGAGGACAGGGCAGTGGTCAGGGCCACCTCGTTTTGATGCACACAAGGGATAAAGTAGCCTTCACGGTCCACGCAGGACAGGGCACTAGAACCTCTGAGAGGCTCTGCTCAACGACCCAGAATGATCCTGCTTCCTCATCCTCACGCTCGGTCCCTTAGAAAGTCAGCAAGTCCTGCGGATTCTCGTGCAAGACGTAGATGGAACCCATCTCCCCTTCTCGCCTTCCTCTACTGCCATCGGAGCCACAGCCACAGCCATCTCTTCCTGGGATACAATGTGTCCGGCCTGATTGTAATTTGTTCTCCTCACTAGAGCCTGAGTGATTTTGAATTCCTAAGTGCTCTTTTATTTCCAAGATCTCTCGTTGGTTCTTTTCACAATCGCCAGCCCTGGATTCAGAACCATCGTTGTTCACCTAATAGAGATACTTCTCTTATCTCTCCAAGACAGTAAAGATGCCAATTTCAAACATTGTTTCTGATTAGACCATTAGCTCAGTCTCCTTGGCTCCACGCTCTTTCTTCTGCTGAATTTGTTGGTGCTTTTCGAGGGGGCTGGCCATCTTCAAACGTTTGATGTATTGAGATGCGTGTCAATCTTTGCATGTGCTCCTTGTTTAACTACAAACTGGGTTGGGCTTTTGAGGGTGTGCGTGGGAGCTGTAGCCTTGGGCTTGCACTGGCCCAAGGTGAGCAGGTGCGCTCAGCAGGGGCTCACGGTCCACCTGTGTGTCGGGGTTGCCTGCTCCTCCTGGGCGCTCTGATCTGGCCCTGTGCCCAGCTCTCACACTGACAGGCCCTGGCTAGAGGCAGGATCATCCCTGCCCAACCAGGGAGTCCTTCCTGACAACAAAACCTTAGAGGCCACCCTCCTGCTCTCTCCCTCCCATGCACGGATCACAAGAGCTCGTTAAATACCTACGTGTGGATGGTCAGCCTCGCCTATTCAACCGAGCTCTCCCAAGGCAGAGCGCAGGTGTGTCTGGGCCACCAGGCCGTACCCAGTTCTCCACACCGCACTTGATGCAGATTTAGTTCAAGAAATAATTATTATATAATGTGTTGTTTGTGCTGCCAGTCAGACTTCATTTAAAGAAAGCGCTCTCAGCTAACACACTTTGAAAGCAGCTGCAAGAACGGGCACCTTAGCAGAGAAAGAGCCCAGGGCCCTGTGCTTCCCTTTGGGTTCTGTGAGGCCAGGCGATCACCAGGGTCTGCTCTGCACGGCCCCTCGTCCAGAGAGGCGGCAGCTCTGCAGTCATCCTGGGCTCACCTTGGAGCCCAAGTTCACCTTCTGGAGCAGGGAGCTCATTTCTCCCAAACCCTGCTGCTGGCTGCCGGCTACCAGCAGGGAGGTAGAGCTGTGGCCGAAGCTGTAGGATCCTGAGAGCATTCCTGCTCCTGGGCCCTGGTGGTAGGTGAGAATGGGGGCGCTCAGCAGGCAGGATATGGAGGGAAGGGGGTGGGAGGGCTTCATGCTGTGTCTCTTTTGAGTCATCCTGGGGTGCCAGCACCCCCACCCCACCCATCAGCACCTCTGCCCATTCCTCTGCAGTAGGTAAGGGAGTTTGCAGAAAAGACAGGCTAAGGACACTCCAGGGGGGACACTCCAGGGGGAGGGGGCTTTGGCCATCACAGCTCCCCCACGCCTCCCGTTTTCTAGGTCAAGGAACTGGCTGTGAGCACAGGTGACAGGCCCAAGGTCATTCGGAAGAGCTGGTGCCAGATGCGAGGCTGCTTACCCTCGGGGCCCTGGGACTGCACCAAAGTGTCCTCCCTCCATCCCCTCCTCCTCCCCCGTCCCCTACCGCCTTGTTCCCGTTCCTTTTCACCCCCAGCTGCTTCTTATCGCTTGGGCTCCGAGCCCTGGCCAGGATACCTGGTACCTGCCCCTCCCCCCAGGCCCCACCACCGTGCAGTCTGCCTGGCCCCGCCGGGGGACCAAGGGCCTGCGGGCCTCCCACCATGAGGCCATCACCTGACCAAAGTTCCTTCCGTGGCATCAAGCAGAGCCGGGGAGCGGCAGGAGGAGGACCAGGAACGGGGTCTGCTGTGGCGTGCACCTCCCTGAGCTCCCGGAGTCTGTCCACGCGCCCTGGGCACTCATTTAACCCCGCTGTGAGCCCCGGACTGCACGTGGGCTTCTTCCGTGCACCTTCCGTGTACCTCTCCTCCCCGCTCCCTCCCTGGTGGCACGGCCTGGACTCCCACCCCCAGACACAGGATCACTTCCTACCACTTCTGGTAGGACCTGCACACAGGTCTGTCTGTCTTCCGGGCCTCCCCGGGGTGCGGGGTGGGGGGATGGAAACCTGTGGCTCCAACTGCGGCTGTTTGGATGGGCTCTGACTCGCCCTGACTGGGTGAGGCTAACAAACAGGAGGCTGGGAGGTGGAGGGAGGCCCCCCACTGCTCCCCCCTCCCGCTGCTCCAGGCTGTGACGTCATAGCCCCCAACTGCAGACCCCAGGGGGGGCGCGCGAGCAGCGCGGGTCGAGTCTCACCGACCCCCAGGGGGATTCCTCGCGCGCCCGGTTCTTCGCTGCAATGTTTTTTAGAGTGGTGGTCTGCGGAACCCCGGACCCGCGAGACGCTCTGGGAATGACGGGTTCCGACACAGCCAAGTTTGGGAAAAGCTCCTTTCTCCCAAACAACCCACCCTCGTCGCAGCTTCCCAGGGTTCTCCGGTGCGTTCAAAGGCTCTGAGCGACCCTGCAGTATGAAACGTGAACTGCAAAAAGGCGCCAGCCCAGCCTGAGCGCCAGGGGAGAAACCCGCCCCCCCCACAGCAGGTGCCGGGGCGGGAGGCGGGGCTCCCCGCGTCTGCGCCTGCGCGGCCTCGGGGCGCGTGCCCCCGCCCATCAGCTCCCGGACGCCCCTTCCCTCGCCTCTGGAGTGTGCAGACGCCCATTTGGCGTTTCCTAAAAAAAAGCCGAAAACCCAGGCTGAGCCCCCAAGGACAGCTGGCCAATGAGGCGGCGAGCCGGAGCATGACCGCATCAGCGAGGCCGCCCATTGGCTGCGCGGCCCTGAGGCGACGGCGGCGGTGCCTCGGGCCCCGCCCCTGCGCCGTGCGGCGGCGCATGCGCCTTTCGCAGCCTGCGCGACGGAGACGAGGACCCGAGTCGGGCGCCGGGTGCCCTTGGCCTCGGACCCGGGGGCGCTCGTCTGACGGCGGGTCTCCCGCGTGCTACCTTGTCAGAGCGGAGTCGGTGCACCCGTTGGGGGTCGAGAGTGCGGGCCCGGGTCGTGCTCGCGCCGGGGAGCCCCCGTGCCAGCCCACCTCAAGCCCTCCGTGCTGACGCCCCTAAATTATGTAACACCTGCCTCTGTCTCCAGGAATGGAGATCCCATTCCGGATATTCCCGATTCCCTTGGCTGCCAGCTGGGCGAAGGGAAGTTCACGTTCAGCCTCCGGAGAGTGTCCTTAAGTGGGTTTGGGGAGGGGGGCCCCTCCGCGTCCCCCCTCTGTCCACTGGCTGGAAAGGAGGCGGGCTCTCTGGGGCTGCAGCAGCCAGTGTGGACCATGAGGTAGCACCCCAGGGATCGTGGGCAGCAAGATGGAAATAGCCTAGATTGGGGGCAGTTTTGAGAGTACCAGCCCTAGATGCGTACCTCTGCATGTTTGGGTGTGGATGTTATATGTCTCTTCTGGGGCTGTCAGTAGGTCGTGTGTTTGGACGGGGAGGGGAGAGATTTGTCTTAAGGACTTGGCTTCTGTGAGTCTGACACCTGCAGAGCGGATGCTGCCCCTGGAGTCTGCAGCCACTGGCCCTTGAGTGGTCTCTTTCCTCCTAAGGCCGTCAGCTGACGGGGTGAGGGCCACCCACACTGTGGAGTTCTGTCTGCTGTCCTCCCAGCGACTACCGGAGGTTCGTCTCCTTCACAGCCGTATCTGCTGGGGGCTTGACCAAGAATTGGGGCCGTGGCCGATGTGGGCTCCGTGCTCCCTCCCCCCGTGCACACCCAAAGCTTCAGTACCTACGTTGAAGCTTGCACCCCAGTATTTCAGAGTGGGATCCTGTGTGGCCTTGAAAGAGGTGCTTGAGTTAAAATGAGGCTGTGAGGATGACCCCTGACCCCACCTGATGATGTCCTTTAGGAGCAGTAGCTGAGGACACACAGAGGCTCAGCGGGAGAGCCACCCACAGCAGAAACAGCGGGAGAGGCCTGAAGCGGCCAAGGACAGCGGCCTCGGAGACAGCCCGGCCTGCGTCGTGGTCCCTGACTTCCAGCCTCCGGAACTGACAAAGAGCAAGTTCTGTTAAGTCACCCAGTCCGTGGCATTTTAAAAAAGATTTATGTCTTTATTTGAAAGGCAGCGTTACACAGGGAGAAAAAGAGAGATGGGGCGGGGGTGGGGTGGAGAGAGAGAGGTGGGGTGGAGGTGGGGAGGGGAGAGAGAGAGAGAGAGAGAAAACCGTCTGCTTGCTGATTCACGCCCCAAATGGTCCCCGATGTTGGACCCTGCCAAAGCCAAGATCCAGGAACTCAGTGTGGGGCTCCCGTGTGGGTGGCAGAGGCGGAAGCCCTCAGACCATCGTCCCTTGTTTTCCCAGCTCATTACAGGGAGCTGGATCAGAAGTGGAGCTGCTGAGACTCATGGGACGCTGGTGTTGCAAGCGGTGGTTCGACCCACTGCACCACCGCGTGGGCCCAGCCGGTGGTATTTTGACAGAAGCCCTAGGAAGCAAGGACACATGATGCAGCCAAGTTGACACATAGAGGTAGCACTGCCGTGGTGCTTCTGTAGCCAGAGCACATGGAATGGGGAGGCGGGCACAACTCATTCGCCTTCGGGGAGCTGGTGGGCGAGGACACAGCTCCCAACAGTCCTTCTGTTTCGGGGCAGCCTGAGGTCCGTCTTCCTGTGTGGCAGCCACGGGCAGCTTCCAGGAGGCCGTTTCTTGTGTGGACGTCTGTGTCTGTGTCTGGCCAGCATTTGGGTTTCTAGGGACGGTGAGTCTTCCCGCCATCCTCGCACATCTCAGACCTAAATTCCCCAGCATGCACCGGCACCCAGAGTTGTCGTCTTTGTGATTCTCATCAGAGCAAGGCAGACCTCAGGGAGGACACGGGTACTATTGGAGACCCCCGTACCGGGAAGAAGACCCAGTGGCTGTGCGTAGCAGACATGACATGTTCTCTCCTGGCCTGGGGTCTTCTCATGGACTTATTTTATAAATTCAGAATTTTTTCATCTGTCCCTCAAATATCCAAGACTAGCCTGAAAGCACACAGTGATCCGTCGCTAGGTTGCACAGAGGGGGAGAAAGAGAGAGAGAGAGAGAGATTCCATGTGCTGGTTCATTCCCCAAGGGGCTGGGCCAGGCTGAAGCCAGGAAGCTAAAACTCCATCCAGGTCTCCCATGTGGGTGCAGGGGTCTAAGCCCTTGGGCCGTTGTCTGCTGCTTTCCCAGGCACATTAGCAGGGAGCTGGATCAGAAGTGGAGCAGCTGGGACATAAGATGCCAGGATTGTAGGCAGCAGCTTAACCCACTGCCCTGCAGTGCTGACCCCAACACTGAAGATTCGCATGACGATTGCCAGCATCCACAGTAGCTCCTGCGCATTGCTCTATTTGGCTTGTAAGATTCGTCACATCACCAACACCACTCTGTCCCTTATGACTGGGGGCAAAGCACTTTGCGTGCATTGCCAGTGGTGCTTTGTCCAGCCGTCCCGTAGGCAGTACTGTTACATCTCCCTTTTTTACAGCTAAGGGAGGTGAAGGACTTGCCAGCATCATCCAGCCCACAGTGGTGGCAGGACCAGATGCGTACCCAAGCTATCTGCACAAAGCTGGCACCCTGACCTGTGCCCCATGATGTCTTTTTCGGGGGCTGCAACCCCCTGGCGGGGGGACCCACCTTGTGTTTGCTGCATCGGGTGTGAGCTCGGCCTCCCCAAGGCTCTTCCGGCCTGGGCTTCCGTGTGTGGGTACCGGGAGGAAGGGGGGGAGGCCAGCTGTGCGGCTGCCTGGCTGGGAGGCGGGCTGTGTATTGATTGACTGAAATTGGATTTGTTGACACAAACTGCCAGCGTTTCGCAGTGATGAAAGGATTGCCCACCGGCCTTCTACAAGCAGATTTCCCCGAGGGCCGCAGAGCTGCTGGTGTCGTTCTTTTGTGGCGAGAAGAAAGCAATTAGGAGAGCGGGCGAGGTTATTAGGTGGGATAGCTCCCCTCAGCCCCTGCGCGCGCCGCGTGCTGCGTGGCGCGGGACTCCGGGCTCCCAGTCCTACATGCTGGGGGTTCTGTTTGCACCTCTGCCTCTGCGTAAAGCCGACCAGGGGACAAACACGGCTCGTGTGTGCTGACTCCAAGGCATATGGAGAGCGCACACACGGATTTGGGTCACCGAAAGAAACCAGCAGGTGGAACCAGCTTTAGCAGACTTTAAAAATAACAACATTACAGGAGTCTAAATGCTAATCCATGAATGCACACGATATACTCCTCTCTCTGTCTCTGTCTCTCCTCTCTGTCTCTCTGTCTCTGACTCTCTCTCTCTCTTCCATCCTTTTCACGGAAAAAATATTTAGACTTGGGCCAGCATTGTGGGTAAAGCTGCTGCCTGCCATGCTGCCATCCCACATGGGTGCTGGTTCATGTCACTGCTGCTCCACTTCTGATCCAGCTCCCTGCTAATGGCCTGAGAAAGGCAGGGGAGGGTGGCCCACACGTTGTGGGCCCCTGTGCCCACATGGGAGACCCAGATGAAGCTCCTGGCTCCTAGCTTCAACCTCGCCCAGCCCTGGCTGTTGCAGCCATTCGGGAGTGAACCAGTGGATGGAAGATATTTCTTGCTCTCTCTTTCTTTCTCACTCTGCCTTTCAAAATAAATAAATAAATCCTTTAAAATAATTCAAAAATTCACACTGGTATGGTTTACAAGGTGTATTTCATGATATGACCAGCTGTGGCCAGCTGCAGGTGGCAGGGAGCGAGGAGGAAAGGAGGGTACGTTCTGCTGATATGCGTTGCTTCAGCAACTTTTCACTAAAATTTGGAATCTATGCAGGACCAGGCACGCTGATATGGAATGCAGGCATCCCAAGTGGGGATTTAACCGCCGTGCCAAAACACCCACCCTGACACCTGTATCTTGACAGGAGGTCCCTGCTACCTGTGAGGTGAGGAGGATATGAAGCAGGAGTGGGTGGGATAATGTTAAAATCAAGGTGTGCATTTAATTTATTGTGTCCCTACATGCATGCATTCAGCAAATATTTCCCAAGGGTTGGGGTTTAGGGCTTACTGAGGGCACTGTATAGAGAGAGGACAAGGAAGACAAAGTCTACACCCCGAGGAGCTTAAATTCTAGATGGTAGATGTCAGATCCAGCTTGGATCCTGGCTCTGCCTCTTCCCACCTTCCTGTTCTTCCTCACCTGTGTGATGGATGGAAGATGCCACAGACCCTCTTGATGTTCTTCCTGCTCACCCTCTCTGGATGTGGGCCGGCCCCACGCCTACCCCAATCAGTGGGGCCCAGAGGAAACCATGCACCTCCAGGCCCAGGCCGAGACCCCAGGAAAATGGCAGCGTCTGGAGTCGCGGGCTACTGTGTAAGGAGTTCTCCCATTCTGAAGCCACCGTGTCCCGAGGGAGCCCATTGGTGAAGAAGCTGGCTGGGGAGAGAGTCGTCAGGACATCCCCCAACCATTCAAGACTTTTCGACTGGGGTTCCAGACACACCATGGAGCAAAGCAAGCTGTTTCCACTGCCCTGTCCACATTCCCCACCCACAAAATGTTGAGAAAGTATCAGGGTAATATTTTTTAACAAAGAGTGATAGAGACAGGGAGAGTCAGAGAGAGAGAGAGAGAGCAAGAGAGAGAGAGAGACAGAGACAGAGCGAGAACACTGGCTTTTCCATCCAACAATTCACTCCTCAAATGGCTGCAACAGGCAGGTCTGGCCTGGGCCAAAGCCGAGAGTCAGGAATTCCACCCTAGTCTCCCACATGGGTGCAGGGGTCCAAGTGCTGCTTTCCCAGGCACATTAGCAGAAGGCTGGATCTGAAGCAGAGTAAGTGGGCTACCAACCAGCACTCTGATCTGGAGTGCCAGCATGATAAATGGCAGCTTAACCCGCCATGCCACAACACCGGCCTTTAGGATAATAAATTGCCGTTTTCAGCTAGTAGGTTTTGTAGTAGCTTTTCAGCACTAGAAAATGGAACAACATGTAAATGGGATAATAATTCACATCTGATTTGATTGTTGGAAGCTGCTTTGTGGTTTCTGGTCCCAGACAAGTACTAAGTCAATATTCCCCTTCTTTCCCTTTGGATGGCTTATTATGAAGTCGAAACCTGGCCCTGTCTTGACTCAGCCTGTCGGAGTGCTGTAGACTAAGTCCTGTTCTTTTCTGGTCTTTAGATGTATGGAAATGACTCTTGAGGTCATGGACGATCATACCATGCTGCATTTGCTGGTCCTTCCTCCCAGAAGCTGCTCGACTCTAAGATTCCCCTTGGGCTGTGTTGCCCTAGAAGGACCACGGCAGGTGCACCACGGGCAGTGATGGTCATTCTTCCCACTGTCTGGACACCACGCCCCAATGACTGTTGGCAGATGAGGCCGACGCTGCAGGCTTCTAGAATTCAATTCTTTTCATGACTCCATGTGCTTGCAGTCATTCTCAGCGTGACGATATCACACATTTGACCCACTGTACTCTTCCTCTTCTTCTCCAAATCGCTTATGAAAATGTCGGATAGGGCTGTGGTAAAGGTATGCCCAATGGAGCTCTCTCTCTACGTTGACATTTGCGCATTGATAGGCCCTGCTGGGTATGTTTGTTCAACCAGTCGCCTGTGAATCACCCAACACTTCTGTCATCAGCCTACATTTTGCCCATCTGTTTGTGGGAATATTCAGTTTAGCTCTTTAGCATATATTACCTACTTTTGTTCTGTCACAGTAGCTGGTGTTGTTTGCCTGTGTTGGGTATCGTTGCAGGCAGGGGCCACATCCTGCTTTTCTGCTCTTGACCTCTACGTTGATCATGTGAGAAGCATTCAGTGGGCTCTTGATGAGCTCTTTCAGCCATACCGCTCAATCAATAGGCCTGTTTTCTTATTTATGCCTTTTCTGACCCTATGGCATATTTTTGTTCATAATTAATTAATATGTAAGGTGTGTGGGAAAAATCTAATTGGATTTAAGTTCTTGCTTAAATGCATCAACTACATTTAACCTAGGTTGAATCCCTAACAGTTGGATGATAGAAAATACAAGGAAGGGAAGATGCTAGGAGCGGTTTGCCTTAGCCTCCTGGGGAGCTGCCCTTCCAAGATGTCAGAGAAGATGCCGCTGCGAAGGTGTGGGGCAGGCGTTTGGCCTGGTAGTCAAGATATCAGTTAAGATGCCCACGTCTGGGGCAGGCATCGTGGCGCAGCAGGTGAAGCCACCTCCTGTGATGCCGACATCCCCCATGGGCACTGGTTCAAGTCCCGGCTGCTCCACTTCCAATCCAACAAAGTATTAGCAAACAGAATCCAACACTACATCAGAAAGGTCATACATCATGATCAAATGGGACTTATCCCAGGGATGCAGCATTTGCAAATCAGTAAACAGTGAGTCCCATCAGCAGGATGAAGAACAAAACCCCGTGCTTGTCTCCTTAGATGGAGAGAAAGAACATCACAAGATTCAACATCGCTTCATGACAAAAACTCTCGGCAAATGAGGTACAGAAGGAACACACCTCCAAATTATAAAGGTTATATACGACAAACCCACAGCCAATATCACGCTGCATTGGGAGAAATGGAAAATATTTCCCCTTAGATTCGGGAAAAAAGAATGTCCACATCACCACTCTTATTCATTGTAGTGTTGGCAGTGTTAGCAAGAGTGATCCGAGAAGACAAATAAGAGACGTCGGAATTGGAAAGGAGGAGGGAAAAAGACCCACATTTGCAGATTGCGTGAAGCTGCACATGAAAAAACCTGCACACGTCGCCAAAACGTTGTTAGAACTGAAAAACTATTCATAAAGTCACAGGGCGCAAAATCAACATACAAAAAATGGCATTTTTATACGTCAATAATGATCTTTCTGGAAGAGAATTAAGAAATCAATTTCATTCACAATCATTAGAAGAAATTAAATTTTAGTAATAGATTTAACCAAAGAACTGAAAAATTTCAATAAAATTATAAAATACTGATGAAAGAAGTCATGGAAGATTTGAAAAATGAAAATATATTTCAAATAAATAAATCCTTGTTCATGGATTGGAAAAATTAATTTTGTTAAAATGTCTATGCTGCCTCAAGCAAACTACAGATTTCATGCAATACCCATCAAAATTCCAGTGATATCTTTTATATAATTAGCAAAACACTTGTAAAAATTCATACAGAACCAGAAAAGACACAGAATAGCCAAAGCTATCCTGAGCAAAAGAAAAAAAAAATTGGGACCGGCGCTGTGATGTAGCAGGTAAAGCCGCTGCCTGCAGGCCCAGTATCCCGTGTGGATGCTGGTTCAAGTCCTGGCTGCACCACTTCCAATCCAGCTCTCTGCTATGGCCTGGGAAAGCAGTGGAAGATGCCCAAGTGCTTGGGCCCCTGCACCCGCGTGGGGGACCCAGAGGAAGCTTCTGGCTTCTGGCTTCGGATTGGCTCAGCTCTGGTTGTTGCAACCATCTGGGGAGTGAACCAGCGAATGAAAGACCTCTTTCCCCCCCACCCCCTGCCTCTCTGCAGCTCTGCCTTTCAAATAAATAAATAAATAAAATCTTTTATAAAAGAAAAGAAAATAAATCAAGATGCAAGCATCATAATACCTGATTTCAAGCATACTGCAAAGCTATCATAATCAAAACAGCATGGTACTGACATAAAAAGATTACCTCACACTATATACAAAAGTAAACTCAACATGGAGCCTACACGTGATACCTGAAACCATGAATTGCTGGAAGAAAACATAGGGAAAACACTTCAGGACATTAGTACAGGTGATGATTTTTTGGATGAGACCCCAAAAGTTCAGGCAACAAGAGCAAAACTAGACAAATGGGATTATATCAATCTCAGAAACTTCCTCACAGAAAGGAAGCATTCAACAGAGTGAAGAGACATCCTACAGGACTCTAGAAAATATTTGCAGACCGCTTACCCAGCAAAAAATTAATATCCAGCATATACCAGGAACTCCTAAAACTCAACAACAGGAAGCAACCAATCCACTTAATAAATAGGTGAGGGGCCAGCGTTGTGCCACAGCAGGGTAAGCCTCCACCTGTGGGGCAGGCGTCCCATACGGGCACCAGTTTGAGACATGCTGCTCCACTTCCCATCTAGCTTTCTGCTAATGCGCCTGGGAAAGCAGCAGCAGATGGCCCAAGTCTTTGGGTCCCTGCCACCCACATGGGAGACCCGGAAGAAGCTCCTGGCTCCTGGCTTCAACCTGACCTACCCGTAGCTCTTACAGCCATTTGGGGAATAAACCAGCAGATGGAAGATCTTTCTCTCCTTCAGTCTGTCCTCTCTCTGTAAATATGCCTTTCAAATAAATATAAAATAAATCTTTAAAAAAAATAGGCAAATGACCTGAATAGTTTTCAAAAGAAGAAATACAAATGTCCAACAGATGTATGGAAAAATGCCGAGCCATCAGGAATGTAAATCCAAACCACAAAGTGATATCGCTCCACCCCTGTTAGAATGGCTCTGGTCAAAAAGGTAGAAACTAACAAATACAGCAAGGAGGGGAGAAAGGGAAACTCATATTCATGGCTGGTGTGTAAATTAGTGCAACCACTAGGGAAAACAGTATGGCGGTTCCTTAAAAAAAAAAAAAAAAACTGGAAAATGTCCCTGGCTGGATTCTGTCCTGTGCCGCTGTTCTTTGCAGCAGCGGGCGTCTACCCCAGCTGCCTTCACGCCCACCTATGTGTGTCCCACCACCCCATGGAGGGTTCAGTGGAGCTGCCGAGGCTTCAGAGCTCTTCTCAGTGGTGAGCTAAAGGTCAGGAGACCATCACTTTAAAGTGGACAAAGACAAAGGTGAGAACCAATCATCTTTTTTTTTTTTTTTGACAGGCAGAGTTAGACAGTGAGAGAGAGACAGAGAGAAAGGTCTTCCTTTGCTGTTGGTTCACCCCCAAATGGCTGCTACTACCAGTGCTGTGCCGATCCGAAGCCAGGATCCAGGTGCTTCTCCTGGTCTCCCATGGGGTGCAGGGCCCAAGCACTTGGGCCATCCTCCACTGCACTCCCGGGCCACAGCAGAGAGCTGGCCTGGAAGAGGAGCAACCAGGACAGAATCCGGCGCCCCAACCGGGACTAGAACCTGGGGTGCCGGCGCCGCAGGCGGAGCAGTCAGTTAAGGCGCTGGTGCAGAGGCAGTGAGTCGTGCAATTATGGGAACGTTGGCCACTCTGAGATGTCCAGACAGCCTGCCGTTTCCCTTGAGAGCCCTGGAATGCCACCACCCGTGGACTCAAGGTTAACGCGTGGCTCAGGACCTGTGCAGGTTGGTGGACAGCACTTAGCCTCTGTGGGGGAAGGTGCAGAGTCAGAGGATGAAGGGGAGGAGATGTGAACCTATTCAGCGTATCTGGAAAGCGATCTGCCCCTGGAGCTGGCAGCAGGGAACCATGGGAAACAGTGAAGCTTGCAGCTGAGGAAGATGATGATGATAATGATGAAGATGATGATGACAGTGTTGGTTCTGATGATGAAGAAACTAAGAAAAACCTCCCGGGAAGAATTCTCTATGAGACACCCTAATCAGGACTGCACAGAACTCAAGCAGAATTGGAAAGACTCAACACCAGCAACACCAAGTTCAAAAGACCCAAAATCCTCAAGAAACAGGAAAAAACTCCTAGAACACTGAAAGGACCTCGTTCTGTAGAAGACTTAGAGCAACAATGCAAGTAAATGTAGGAAAAGGTGACTCTCTTCCCAAAGTGGAAACCAAATCCATGTTCTATGAGGAGGCTAGTCAAGCTCTGTGGCAGTCGGGGAAGACTGTTTAAGAAAGCAGTTTAAACAGCTTGTTAATTTTTTTCATTTTATTTCATTTCTATAACAGTTGATATCTGGCTTTCCTTTTTATAATGCAGAGTGAGAACTTCCCCTACCATGTTTGGTAAATGTTGTCCAGGTTCCTTTGCCAAGAACGTGTTGTCCAAGATGCTTGTTCAGTTTTTAAAGATGGCACGCTACCCTTTGCTCGGTTTTAAGTATGTATGGGATGATATGAAAAGACACAGTAGTAGCAGGGATCAGACATGGAAATGGCGGGGAGGCAAAAATATACGTGTGAAATAAACTCAGGATTTTAATAAAGTAGAATTGCTACTCTTTCTAAAGAAGAAACTAGAAATAGAACTGTCATACATACGATCCAGCAGTCCATTACCAGCTATCTATCCAAAAGACAGAAAATCATGAAATCATTGTGTCAAAGAGATGTCTGCTATACTGTGTGTATTGCCGCACCGTTCACAACAGCCAAGATTTGGAGCCAGCCAAGATGTTCATCGGCAGGTGAATGTGGCACATGTGCAGAATGGAATGTTCTTCAGTCGTGGACGGTTGAAGCCCGTCGTTTGCACAAACCGAGTGGAACTGGAAGGCGTCATGTTGCGTGAAAGAAGCCAGACACAGAAAGACAAATACTGCATGTTTTCCCTCATATGCGGAAGCTTAAGAAACTCCAAATGAACAGAGTGGCGATTGCAGGGGGCTGGGAGGTGTGGGGAGGAATAGGAGGAATTTGGATATTGGGCACCAAATCCGAGTTAGGTGGAAGGCGTGAGCTCCTGGTGTTACACAGCATGGTTGGGGGACTGTTGGCTCGCAATAGCTCAGTATGAATTTTGTGAACAAGTAGAAGTAAGCAGCACCAAGCCTCCAGTCATACAGTCATGTCACAGGAAGGGCAATGTTGATTATCCTGATTTGCTCAGTACACATTGTATACCTGTATTGAAGTGCCACACTGTGGCCCATAAATACATGCAATTATTAATGGAAAATTAGAAAAATTTTATGGGGAATGGAATTCCAACTTTCAAAAAAGGGATTTTTCCATTTAGACAAGACGTTCAAACCGGGGAGACATTGTGCTACGTGAAATAAGCCAGGGGCCAGCGCTGTGGTGTAGCGGGTTAAGCTGCTGCCTATGACGCCAGCAGCCTGTGTGGGCGCCGTGCAAGACTCAGGTGCTCCACTTCTGATCCAGTTCCCTGATAAGGTGCCTGAGAAAGCAGTGGAAGATGGCCCAAGTGCTCGGGCCCCTGCACCAACACAGGAGACCCAGAAGACGTTCCAGGCTCTTGGCTTCAGCCTGGCACAGCCTTGGCCATTGCGACCATTTGGGGAGTGAACCAGCAGCTAGAAGATCTCTTTCTCTCTGTCTCCCCTCTTCTTTCTGCAACTCTGCCTTTCAAATAAATACAAAAATAAATCCTTGGGAAAAAAGAGATCAACCCAACACAGAAGCACAAATACTGCATTGTCCCACTTACGTGAGGTACCTGAAATAGTTAAACTCATAGAAGAGGAGATAGAACAGAGGTTACTCCTGGCTGTAGCAAGGGGAAGATGGAGAGATGTCCAATTCATATAAAGTTTTAGTGATGCAAGATTATTTTTTTGTGGGGATCTTCTGTATAACATAAAGCCTGTATCAACAATACTGTATTATGCACGTAAAAATTTGCTAGGACTGTAGACGTCATGCTAAGTGTTCTCACTACAAATAAAATGAAAGGAAACTTCTAGAAGTGATGCATAAGCCCCTTTGATACTGTGATCATGATTTCATGTGTCCAGACTCATCAGACTGTATATATTAAACACGAGAACTTTCAGTTATTCCACAATAAAATTGCTTTTTTTTAAAAAAAAAAAAGGGGGGGGGGAATAATCAGATCAGGAAAAGTTGGTGGGTCGTAGGAACTTAGAAGAAAATTTTCAACCTACTATTTAGCCACTGAGGGTAGGATCAGCCAATGAGGACTTATTAAGAGCAAATGAAGATATCATTATAGTGGTTATAAATGTGTTTATTTTGCTCTATTACTGCTTACATTATGTATGACTAATAAGTGAGTTTTTAAGTTTGGCTTTTGTCTAATCAAATCAATATTTACTGAGGCAGTATTAGGTAGTGACTGAGACTCTGCAGTGGCTAAGCTATATTCAGATCTCTTCTTGTTCATCAGCTTGGGTGCATTATCTAACATCTTTAGTTGCATCCTATGGCATCTGCAGATTTCACGGGGTTTGCTGGAAGAATTCAATTAGATAAGACATGTAGGATGTTTAGAATAGTGCCTGGCATGTGGGCATTGCTAGTTAAATGACAGCTATTATTGTTTTTTTAATACTTAAATAATAGTGTCTTGGGGATGTAAGTATTCAAAATCTGAACTGCTCATTCTTATATTGAAATAGCTACTGTGTAACTTTAAGAAATACACGCTGATACAAATACATTGATAAAGAAGTCATTAGGAAGAAAACAAACTTAGAATACTTTCAGGACAGTCCCCAAACCTTCAAATAACAAAATCAAAGTTACAGAAAGAGTAACACCTCCTGATCTGAGGAGATGCGTTATTTATGCCAATAATATTCTCAAGTGTTAAAGTATCACCACGGGTAGAAGTTAAGTAAATGGAAGGTTGATTTCCTTCCTCCCTCACTCAACAACTCCCGAGATTTCAGCGGTCTTAGGTGCGAGTTCAGAAGCCAACATCCTTACTGGGCACTGAAGATGCGTTGCAGCCCTGGTCCCTCCTTCCCACCTTCCTCCGGCTTTGCCTCTGCTGTTCCTCCCTGCCTTCCCTTCTTATGTTCCTCCCCCACTCTCCTCCTTATATCCATGCATCCATCCATCCTTCCATCCGTTCATCCATCTGTCCACCTGCAGTGCCTATCACTTGAGTCCCCTTCCTATTTCTGCTGAATCTGGAAGCCAAAAAGATCAGATATTTGCCGACCCCAAATCCTGGCAGCAAAGAGGTGGAACTCTGGCATAACCATGGCCACTGTGTGCTCCCACTAGAGACCTGGAATGCAGAGTAGGGAGGTGAGGGGGCAGGGTCAGTGGGGTCTGCAGTAGTGCAGGTGCCCCAACTGCCCATTGCTGGACACAGGCTTCCCAAGCCTCCCCAGTAGTGCTGGGTTCTCAGACCTGGCTCTCCAGGTTTTACCCTGCACCGGACCCACGAGTTACGTCACAGCCCCTAAGATTCTTCTTTCCGAGGTCTCCCCTAGGTCGATGCTGTGGTCTACAGCCAAGAATCCTGAGCATGGTGCCTGTGGCCACATGGAAGATGAGGTGCTGCCTGCGGCGTGTTCTGAAGACGACTCACCCAGTTATTTTGCAGTCAGCCGCTCAGTTTGACCGTTAATCACGACAGTGATGTCACTGTGGTGGCCATATGTACTCTCTCGATCTGAGGCCCTCCTCGACCTTGTAATATTATTAAATATGAGAGAGAACCCACTTGCTGCATAATCTCAAGTCAGCTCTTAGTCTCTGATTTTTAAAACAAAGTCCGTGATATCCCAGCTGTACTTTCGGTCATTCTTATAAAAATAAAGGTGGCCCAGGGAAGCCTGCATCCACTCGCCAGAAAGACAGTGAGCAGCTCGGGTAGGCAGCCGACCCAGTGCTCAGCAGGGCCGTTCTTAGTTTATTTCCATAACCAGGAAAGAACACACTGTATCTAAAACAATTCTTTACAATAAATAGAACGATGCATTTGTTTTTGTTGTAGGCTTCATCACCATTATTTGTGACATGCGAATATCATGTGGCGCCTTGGTTAATCACCCCCTTTTCTCTTCATTCGTTCTTCAAATCACTTAATTCCATCATCAACTTGGAAACTGGGCATGTGGGATTTTTAAAAAGATTTTATTTATTTATTTGAGAGGTAGAGTTAGAGAAAGAGAGAGGAGAGACAGAGAGAAAAGTCTTCCATCCACTGGTTCGCTCCCCAAATGGCCGCATCAGAGCTGCATTGATCTGAAGCCAGGAGCTTCTTTCAGGTCTCCCACGCCTGTGCAGTGGCCCAAGAAGTTGGCCCATCTTCCACTGCTTTCCCAGGCCAGAGCTGGATCGGAAGAGGAGCAGCTGGGACATGAACTGGAGCCCATGTGGGATCGGCAGTGCCACAGGCAGAAGCTTAGCCTGCTATGCCACGGTGCTGACCCCCGGATGAAGATACCTTCACTGACATCTTGTCCGCTAAGCCAAATGCCTGTCCCTTCTGTATTCTTAAGTTGCTTCAGATGACTTACCCTGAAATCTTACCTACAGAAGACCATTAGGACTCTCAGGAAAACCTGTTGAATGCTGTCTTCCTTCTCAGTGCTGCAGGGGTGGTCACATCACGGTCTGCCTGGAGTCCTGCGTAATCTCCTTCTTGGGGTCACTGTTTCCATCCGTTGTTCCTGTAGGCACGCACACTCCAATTCATGGCTTTTGCTCTTAGCGATGAGAACACCGAGAAGCAGTTGTCCAGCCAAGAGGGCTGACCTTTCAGACGGCGGAGGAACCCCAGGAACCACGGGTCTGGTCCCGAGGTCCCTGCTTTGATCTGGGCTTGCTGCCGCCTCCTCTGTGGCGTGCTCTGCCCCACCTGTTTTAGCTTCCGAAGCAGCAGCACTAGAAGAGTGAACGGCGCAGCCAGAGCCAGGAAGCCTAATTGCTGACTTGGGCAGATAGAAAAGGGGCTCTAAAAGGAGCATCTTAATCTTTGAGAGTCATCAATAATGTGACTATTTTCCCATGTTTTATGCAAATGTGATTTTTTGGTGGTAAACAGTAAGATCATATATGTATATATAATCCAAAATTGTATGCAATTAGCATTTGAAAGATTGTAATTATAGCCTGGCTAGGGCTTTTCTGTAGGTGCTAAAATGGATTTCTTGGCTGAATTATTTTGCAGTAGACTTAAACCACTAATTGTACACCTAAATGAAATTGAGTGTGAACAAATCGAATAACTTTTATTTTACCTTGGATAATAATTTATTGATGCAAATAAATCTGCTTAATTAAATCTGGCACAGCTAGGCCTGTGGAGGCCCCACATAAAGGCATTCTGTCACCCAGCTTTAGCCGTTATTTTAATTTTAGAATAATGTTCCCCCATTCTTAGAGAGAATTGTGTATCTATTAAGGCCTGTGGGAGCAGTGAGTTGTGGGTTCAGGATAGATCTCTTTAAAAGAAGTGATACTCATTTAGAATGTAACTGAATACATCCAGAATGGAAACGTGCCTTACCTTCCCTGGAAATGGCCTCTTAGTTCAGAAATTCCCAAGTCCTTCACAAACGTAGAAAGAGGGTGGAAACCGGGGCACACTTTATCCTGATCAATGATACCTCTTAGGCACCTAATCAAAGATAAGCCACTTAAACAAACATGAGTTTCCCAACACTTTCGCACAAAGCTATCAGGAACTGGTGGCTTGAAACAACAGAAGTACACTGTTGCACAAAATCGAGGTGTCAGCAGGGCCACGCTCCCTCTGAAACGCGCCTGGGGATCCTTGCTTGCTTCTTGAAGCTTCTGGCGGTTGGCTGATGGAGAGGGAGAGAGACCTCCTATGTGCTGGTTCACTGCCCAAATGGCCGCAACAGCTGGGTCCGGGCCAGGCCAAAACTGGGAGTCTAGAATTCCATCCGGGTCTCCCACGTGGGCACGGGGGCCCAAGCACTTGGGTCATCTTCCACTGCTTTCCCAGGTGCAGTAGCAGAGAGCTGGATTGGAAGTGGAGCAGCTGGGACTCGCATCAGTGCTCTGATATGGGGTGGCAGTGTTGTAGGTGGTGGCTTTACCTGTTGCACCACAACGCTGTGCCCAGGAGGCGGGAGCTTTATCCACAGGCTCCTATCCTGCTGCTGGAGGGTTGGCCCTTGCGTGACAATGGCCTTGCACTTCTGGGCTGTGTTTAGCACAGGCCAAATCCACTCACTGGTCTCCTGAGAAGCCCAGATGCAAACGGCAGAGTCAGCTTGAGTGTGTGTTTGTGCAGAACCATCCGTGGCAGCTACGGCTGAAATGAGAGGCGGTCAGGGGGCTGTAGGGGGGCGTCAGAGCATCTCCCGCAGCCCGCCCGTCACACTGCTCAGATGTGCTGTGGCCCCACACGCAGCAGGCTCGTGAGGAAGCCTCCAAGGGGGTGGCAGGCTCCGGCTCCTCAGAGCACGTGTCCCCAGCAGGATACGGCTGGCTCTCATCTCCCCTTTCCATCATCCATCCTAGATGTCCCTACTCTTAGTGACGTCCGAGCTGATTTGGGCTTGGTGAGAGGCTCGACCCTGTGGTAGCTGCTGTTGTTGGTCCCTGGCTGTGCAGTTGCCCCAGTATTACTGAATCTCCAGTGAAAAGCCTGTGTCACACATCGCTCCATCCCACCCCTCACTCTGTGGCAGCAACTCGAGCTCCCCAGGATAATCCAGGGTCACCGTTCCTGCCCGCGTATGAACTCCTCCTTTGGCCTGCTGGTCTGTGAGTGTGAGTCCGCAGTGACCTGAGGGCAGGCAGAGCTTTAGGCTTTGTGGAGGCATCACTGTGCTCTCCCGTGGGAGCCAACCTTCCTTCCCAAGGAGCTGTGCTGTCCACCGTCCCAGGGAGAGAAGTCCAGATTCCCCAAGTGGCTGACTCGGGGTGCAGGTGGGAAGAGTTAACACGATTCTACCTCTTGGTTCTCAGACTTATGTATTCTAGCCATCAGGGACACAGCTTCATACAATGGTCCACGGTTCAAGACTTACCCTGTCTCTTGGAGGATGGTGCCCCTGCCTCATGGGCTGTTTGTCCCCCAGATGGCTTAGCTGAGCCTTGAAGAGGCCAGTCCAACACCCATGAGAACTCTCCCAGGAGATGTGGCAGGCGGCATGAGAGCTGACCCCAGGGCCCTGCACTCCCTGTCCCGCCTCCCTCGCTCCTTGCATCCTGCAGGGTCCCACTTGGCACAGCGGGCACAGTGCTCATCTGGGTGGTATTCGTAGAGGCCCTGCACCAGAGAAGGAGACGCAGACAGCTTCAGAAGAGAGGTCAGTTCAGGCAGGGAGGGATGCATCTTTCCCCTCCACGTGGATGTGGTCTGATGGGATAAATGATGGGTCTCCCAGGGGAAGGTGCTGTATAAAGGGGTCAGTACTGGAATCTGCTGCTGATAGGCAAGGTTTTCGGGAGCAGGGCCAGCCAGGTGGCTCTTCCCTGGAGAAAGGCACCAGGGCCGAGAAGTCCCGGTATAATTGCCGATCCTGCCGCCATGGCCATGCCACTGAAGGGCTCACCGTCCAAGCACTGGGTGGGCTGGGGACACAGGATGACCGCCATTCATCAGCCAAATCCTCCTGGGAGCACCTCTTCCACCCTGAATCCTCCCTAGTGACAATGACATGATACGAACAATGTGTGGCAGCGTCCGATGGGCCACCCACAGCCTCTTCCCAGACATCCTTGATCTTCTAACCCTGCGAGAGGCGTCAGGACAAGAGAGGTAGGTGACACGGAGACCTAGGCTACCTTTGCTCAGAACTGATCCTCAAGAACTCCGTCCCCGTGTGCCTGCCCTGTTTGGCAGATCTGACCATGGCCAGCTCATGCTGAGTAGCGCCAGTCCCATCATCGCTTGATACCTCGTTTTCAGGCGCTTGATCTCTACTGCCCCATTAGTGCATGGGCAGCTGGGTTTGAATGGTGAGTACAATCATCAGTCCCCTGAATGGAGTGGACATGGCCTTTCTCCAGGACCTCATATATGCTGCATTGCAGATCTGCTGGGGTTTGTCAAAGGTTCCCTGTGCATCCTTTTCTGTCGTGGACACCCCCAGCACTATTGGACCTGCTGAATTAAATGACCTCAGCAGCGGGGTAGGTTTTACTGAAGTCTGGAATTTCTTTAGAGTTTTCCTATGCTCCGGGCTTCACTCAAAACCTGGTAGACTAATCAGCCCCCAAAACTGGATCAGAGAAATAATTGCAAATGCAATATAGCTTCCCTCCAAAAATCAAAAGTAGCTTACCAATGTACCTGTTTCAAATAATTTTTAAAAATTTACTGACACATTAAAATTGTACATATTCATGGAATACCATGTGATGTTTTGATACTGGATCTATGGGGTAATGTCCAATCAGGCCAAGTGTAGTTATCTCTTTAAACATTTATCATTTATTTATGGTGAGTCCGTTTAAAATCTTTTCTTCTAGCTTTTTAAAGAAAAAAACAGACACTACATTGTGAGTACCTATTTACTCTATTATCTAGTTACCCTACTGTGCAACAGAAATCAGAATATCTTACCCAATCTAACATGGACTTAGTATATGTTAAATATCCCTTCCCCTCACCCCCCCCCCCCACATAGTATTTAGCTATAGAGATGGGGTTTGGGGTGGTTCTTTTATTTAGAGATGGGGTTTGGGGTGGTTCTCTTATTTATTTATTTATTTGCATTACAGCACATATCCCAAGTCATGGGATCAGTAATAGAGTATTCCACCGTGATATCGGGGGAGAGCAGGAGCGTTAGGACAGATGGAAGGGAAGACAATGCCTGTGTATTTAGACCCCTTCCTGTAGCTCAGAACTGCGTCTGGTCCTCTTTCCTGAGGTTTGGAAGGGGCTTGTGGCCGGATGCAGGCTGAGCTGATCTGCTGCCGTCAAGATGCCACATCCAATTGTGCAGCTGGATCCAATTAGGACGCAGCTTAGCTAGGTCTGGGGAGTCCGCGCCGCTTATGAAAGCCCACCTGGGATCCGCAGAGCCCACACGGACAGACGGAGTGGGCTCCTGGCACCAGCTTCCGCCTGGAGTGAGTACCGCTTCGCTTTGCTGACTTAGGCGGCCAGAGGCACCCTCCAGGGTTCCCACCTGCTCCTTGCTGCCTCCTTGGTTCCTAATCCGCAGGTCAGGGAGACAGTCTGGGGGCTCTACCAGCTGCCATGTCCACGCACTCCAGTCACACAGCCTGGAGGCGAGGGAGCAAGCACAGCGTGGGTCCTCAGCCCCTCAGAAGCATCGCCGAGCCTGCCTTGGCAAGGACTCCACCTGTTACCCAGACTCCCTCATCCCCCACGGCCTCGCGAGAAGCTGCCACGGGATCGCGGGAGTTTCTTATAATGGTGTCAGCCTGGACCCTGTATGCCCTTAATTCCGTTTTCCCGGGATGAAGCTACACAGGTCCTTCTGGGGGAGCTTTGTGGTGCTGAGACCCTCACCCACCGGGGTCTAGCCGAGGGATTATCCTTTTTCCTGTGGCACCTAACATCACCTGTCTGCTTAGCGTCTCTTAATATCCTTTCTGGGCCGGCGCCGCGGCTCACTAGGCTAATCCTCCGCCTTGCGGCGCCGGCACACCGGGTTCTAGTCCCGGTCGGGGCGCCGGATTCTGTCCCGGTTGCCCCTCTTCCAGGCCAGCTCTCTGCTGTGGGCAGGGAGTGCAGTGGAGGATGGCCCAAGTGCTTGGGTCCTGCACCCCATGGGAGACCAGGAGAAGCACCTGGCTCCTGCCTTTGGATCAGCGCGGTGCGCCGGCCGCAGCGTGCCAGCCGCGGCAGCCATTGAAGAGTGAACCAACGGCAAAAGGAAGACCTTTCTCTCTCTCTCTCTCTCTCTCTCTCTCACTGTCCACTCTGCCTGTCAAAAAAAAAATATCCTTTCTGGTTATGCAAATCAAGAGATACCTGTGTTGGCTTCTCATCTACATGTCCTCTGCAGGTGCTATGGTCAGCGGCCTCTGCCCCAGGTCATGTTTGCCTTGCCTCTGCCGGCTGAATGCCGCTGCCCAGCCTCCATACTCTGAACACCATCGTCCTCGTGAGCACTGGAGAGCGCCGTCCTACGGATGACAATGGAAGACACCACCCCAGAGATTCCCAGCAATAGGGGACCCCGCCCCAGTGAGCTTCTCGGTTCTCTGTGAAGGCTGTGTCCCCTGGCCGCCCAGGAACAGGGTCAGGGCCTGTGATCTGGCATAGGAAGTCCTCCTTGGGTCTTCTCAATACAATGCCAAGGCTGATAGGCCTATTTTCTTACTGTAGGTGGGCCTCACGTCCCAGCTTCAAGGATGGGCACAATGGACATCGGTCATGGGAAAGCGTTAACGAACTTTCCCAAGGCCAGCGTTGTGTCGCAGTGGGCTCAGCTGCTGCTGGTGATGGTACCGTTCTATGCCACAGCGCTGGTTCGAGTCTCAGCTGCTCCACTTGTGATCCACCTCACTGCAGATGTGCCTGGGAAAGCAGCAGAAGATGGTCCAAGTGCTTGGGCCCCTGCACCCAAGTTGGGGGCCTGGATAGCGTTCTGGTCTCCTGGATAAATTCTGACACAACCCCAACCGTTGTAGTCATTTGGGGAGTGAATCATTGGATTGAAGATTCTTTCTCTCTCTCTGTCTCTCTCTCTCTCTGTCTCTCATTTTCTCTCTGTCACTCAGCCTTTCAGATAAATAAAATAAATTAAAAAACAATTTTCTCCCACGCATGTTCATGTGCCACCTGCTGGCCCCACACTCCGGGGTCACCCCCACCTGGGTCTCCCTGGTTTCTGCTGGTACACGTGAGGCCTTCAACAATGTCAGTGAATAGTTTTCAACATCCGTATTTGTAATTGGACTGTGTTCCCCTCCCTAGGGCTCTACTGAGAAGTGACCTCGTTAGTAGTCTGTGATTGATAACAAAGAAAATACACAGTTGAGAAAATGGCTGGAAATATGAAATGAACGAAGTATTGCTGTGCACTATGAAGTCACTAAAGGGGAAAAGGAAAAAACAGAGCCGTGGACCAGGTCCCCCATGGCCAGCAGTGTCTCTTGAAGTCTATTTTCAACACAGCTGCCAGAGTTATTCTTTTAAGACAAAACCATGTCATTGTTCTGCTTAAAATCGTCCAGCAGCTTCCCGCCAATCCCAGGTCAAAGCCAAAGTCCTTGTGTGGCTCGCCAGGGGGCAGCCCTGTTGTCTTCTGGACCTTGGCTCTCACTTTGGTGTCTCAGTCACACCGTGTAGCCGCACTGCCTCCTGCCATTCGCAAACACGTCAGGCACACTTCTGCCTTGGCCATTGCTTCTGCCCTGGGTCGCTCGCTCTTTCTAATTTAATTTAATTATTCTAGAAGTAGAGTTACACACAGAGAGAGGGAGAGACAGAGAGAAAGGTCTTCCATCCACTGGTTCACTCCCCAAAGAGTTGCAATTGACAATCGGCCAATCCAAAGCCAGGAGCTGCTTTGGGGTCTCCCACGTGGGTGCAGGGGCTCCAGCACTTGGGCCATCCTCTGCTGCTCTCTCAGGCCGTTAGCAGGGAGCTGCATCAGAAGGGGAGCAGCAGGACAGGTTCAGCGCCCAAACTGGATGCTGGTGCCACAGGCAGAGGCTTAGCCTGCCGCACTGCCGCGCCCGCCCCGGGGCTCACTCTTACCCACGCTGCACAGAGTGCTTGGTCTGAAATCCTCCCGTATGCTTCCCCTGACACTACTGGCTCCTCTTGTCCAGCTTCCGCCAACTCTGTATCATTAATTTATTATGGTTTATTATCTGCTTTCCCTGCGAAACTGTAAGCTCCGTGAGGGCAGGGTAGTTTTTTGCTCACTTATGTATCCTGATGTTTATGGAGCATTGCTTTGCACATAATAGATGCTTATTACATATTTATTTACAACGTTCTGGTGAGGCAGAAGCAATCTGAAACTAAACAGTTAACTGCAACACAAAACTTGGACCAGATCTTTGATGAGTGTTTACAAGCTCTAATTAAATGTACTTGTAGCTATCAATACATCCATGCATCCTCAATGGATCTGTTTCCGGATTCCACGCTGAAGAGTCCTGTTCAATTTCGTTAATTGTAAGAATGGGGGCGCTCGACAGGGCTAGCTCTGCCTCCTCTCTCCACAGTTCCTCACTCACACGACAGCGACCGAGCAATGGAACTCTTTGGAGTCTCGGTTTCCTTGTCTCTAAGAATGCAGGATCACATGAGATAAAATGTGCAAGCCCTCGTTCATTCAGTCACTCTTCACTGAGACCCACCGTGTCCTCGGCGTCCTTGTGGGCTCCGGGGAACCGTTCAGTGTTCTTCATCAAAGTTTATTGAGTGACAGACACCGTGCAAGACACTCAAAAGTCACTACGCTCCCGGAACTTGATTTTAGAGGCGGGACACAGACTGTCGGAACCTCGAATGAGGAAGCGTTAAGGCAGTCAGACGGCATGATGGTTAATTTCCGTGTGACCTTGCCTGGGCCGAGAGATGTCCCGATGGCTGGTGAGACATCACACATGGGCGAGTCTGTGAGAGCGTTCCGGAAGGAAGGAACACTTGAACTTGTAGACTGAGTAAGGATCCACCCCCAGCGCCCTGTGCAGGTGTCACTCGGTCCATGGAGGAGCTGACTAGAACAGAAAGGTGGAGGAACAGTGACCTCTTGCCCTCTTTTCTTGAGCCGTAACATCTGTCATCTCCTGTTCTTGGACTTCGGAGCTTTTGCTCCTTAGGTCTTCAGACCCTGAAGCTTACGCCAGCAGCCGCTCCCCGGTGGACCAGGGCTCACTCTGTTGCCCCCTTGGCTCTCAGACCTCAGACTTGCACAGAATCACATCAGCAGCCTTCCTGGTTGTCTGGCTTGCAGGTGGAATTTCAGGATCTTCTTGGGCTCCATGGTCCTGGGAGTCAATCGCCCTGAGAAGTCTCCTCTTTGGCTCTCTCTCCGTAAAGGCTGTTGGTTCTGTTTCCCTGGAGAACCCTGACGACCGCTCTGGGAAAACATTCCCGGGGAGAAAAGGGGCTGCAGACAGTGCATGATGAGCAGTGGCGGGGGTGGGGAGGGGAAGGGGACGTTGCAGCCTCTCACCACACGCGTCACGACACTGGCTGGCCTCAAGGAGTGCACAGCACAGCCCCGTTTCTCCAGCACACAGCAGGCACAGCTCGGCCCTCCGGGGTGGTGTCTGCTGTTGTTGATGATGGTACATAGCCACTGAGGGAGGGACCTCTGGACCTGATGCCCCGTGACTCTGTGTCACACCTGCCAGGTCACTGGTCACAGACTCAGTTAACACTAATGACTTCCAAACGCACGCACCCACGCGAGGTTGGGCTGCTAGGTGTCAGTGCTAAACAGCAGCTCTTTTCTGCTCCAGTGAAGGCAATGTGAAGGCTGGATGTTTATAGAATGACAGAAAATTGTCCTCGTGACTATTTCTAAATGTGCACAATTTGAGAACTTGGGTAGACCCAGGTCCTGAGTGTATAAAATGCTCATTTTATGACAGTCTGAGGAGAACAGACTTTCTAGAAAAGGAAAGAAACCCATTATCTCCCCTAATGGATGTTATAGGAGATTTCTACTAAATATTGCATAAAATAAACTTAAAACAATTCTCTGTGCTGGCTTTATGGTGCAGTAGATGACTCCCACCAGAGAAAAAGTGATAATGGAGAGAGAAATATTTACCAAACCCAAAAGCGTGAGTCGTTTGTTTAGTCATTAACTCCGAGACTGACAGTGTTAAAATTGTAGAGCGAAAGACATTCATTTCTTAAACACATGAATATCATCATGCACATAACTTAAACGTTTCATTTTTCCCTGTTAAAACGACTTGTCGAAGATAAGGATTAGTTAGATGATCTGGACTTGAGGAAGCTGTCATTTTAGACAGGAACATTTCCATGGACAAGGAGAATTGGATGCATAGTCTTTGGGTTCCAGAAGTATGGGGTATCAGGAAAAAGGAAGGTCCAATGTTCCTAAGAGGCCTTGTCTAAAGAAGCTGTTGGCCGGCGCTGCAGCTCAATAGGCTAATCCTCCACCTAGCGGCGCCGGCACACCGGGTTCTTGTCCCGGTCAGGGCACCAGATTCTGTCCCGGTTGCCCCTCTTCCAGTCCAGCTCTCTGCTGTGGCCCGGGAAGGCAGTGGAGGATGGCCCAAATGCTTGGGCCCTGCACCCCATGGGAGACCAGGAGAAGCACCTGGCTCCTGGCTTTGGATCAGCGTGGTGCACCGGCCGCGGTGGCCATTGGAGCCCCACCCCGCAGTGCCTGCTGCCGTCTCCCTGGAGAGTGGAAGGCAGCTCCCCCAGGCTCCAGGCAGCTGTCCCTGAGTATCTCGGCTCCCTCTTCTCCCCACCCAGCTGTCACTCTGACAGTCCAAATACACAGTCCACAATCGGACAGTCTTGTATGTGCAATGTGCTTCCTCCTTTGTCCACACACGTCTTGCCTCCCCTTACAAAGCAAGGGACAGGTCCTCAACCTCCAGGTAGAGTTGTGCTTCCAGTGGATTCCCACAGTCATTCTTGAGATTGGGCTGTGCGCTACGTTTATGTTTAAGACTCTGATATGAACTGAAAACTCAACTAAGACCTTATAATATTCATCAATAAAACTTTCTCATGCACCAACTTACCTCGCGTTCATGAGGCACAACCAGCGTCCACCAGAGATTGTTTTTAGAAATAAAATGAGGAATTCTAAATGTTTACTGTCTTCACTTATTGGAGCTGTGAGATCTTAAGTGGCCATAAATATAATCAAGGAAACAGAGAAAACCATGAAGCAACCTAGCAGAGGACTCTGTGTAAACAGACTCGGTGCTGGGAAAATTGGGGAAGATCAAACTTAAATTGTTTGTTTTGCTTTTCTTAGTTAGAAAGCAATGCATATTTATGTTGGAAAAAGTAGGAGTTCAGTGCAGGCCAAAGAAGGAGCTAGAAGTCATTGATAATCCCCCTGTAGTGAGATGAGACCCACTCTTCACAGCCCAGTTGATACCCTTCGGGCCTATCTGTATTTTTCTGCTTCCATATGTATTTTCCTCTCAAAAAAAAAAAAAAAGTCACTTTGAGCACACTGTTTTACAACATGCTTTCCCACTTTGAATTCTATTCTGAACATTTTCTCATGTGTTCATATTTTCTCCTACAAATTAATCGGGTTCCTCTTGACTTCTTTTTGTCATACGGTGTATCCAATATGGTGGCAAAGTCTATTGGCTCTGGCTTTACAATAGAGCCAGAAATTGCCGCTGCCTCACCTCTGGTGTAACCTTGTCCTAACAGATGTCCTCCTGCCTTTTAAAAATTATGTATTTGGTTATTTTTGAAAGTTGGGGGAAGACAGGGAGAGAGAAGTATCTTCCATCTGCTGGTTGACTCCCCAAACGCCCATAACAGCCGGGGGTGGTCCAAGTTGAATCCAGGAGCCAGCAACTTCACCTGGGTCTCCCACTTGGGTGGCAGGGACCCAACTACTTGGACCGTCACTTGCTGACTTCAGTGTGCATTAGCAAGGAGGCCGGAATCAAGAGCAGAGCCAGGACTCAACCCAGGCTCTGATACAGGAGGTGGGTATCCCAAGTGGCTTCTTAGCCAGCCCATCAATGTCTGCTCAGGCCTTCTCTCTCACCTTGTCCTTTGAAGGTGCCCACATATTTCCTGACGGCCACAGTTAGACTGGGTCACTCCTCGGCCTCCTCTCCAGCTCCCCTGGTCCCCCTCGCTCAGAGTGAACTCTGAAGTCCTCCCTGCCATCCACAGCTTCTTTTGGATCTGCCTGCCCCTCCCCTCGTTCCCTTTCCCCCTTGCTCACTCTGCTTCAGCAACAGTGGCCTCCCTGTTGCTGCTTGACTATGCTCCCAAAGCAGGGCCATGGATTGGCTGTCCCTTCTTTGTAGAACACTCTAGAACACACACTTTCCAGATATCAGCTTAGCCTGCTCCTCTGCCTCCTTCAGGTTTTTACTTAAATGTCACCTTCTGCTACAAGGAAAACAGACTAGTTAAATTTGACCAAGTTTACTTAGGCAAGAAAAAAGTTGTAGAACTGGGAAACATTCTATATGGAAGACAGTCCAGAACACCCCACCCCACCACATGTACAGGTTGTATTTATAGCCAGAGAAAAGGAAGTGACATACAGAAGCAACCTGATTGGCTGCACTTGGCATTTGCCTTCTAAGGGTATGGTCTGATCACTAGGCAGCCTGTGATTGGATGAGACTCAGCTGCTTGGTTACAATGGTTTACTCTTGTTTACCCATCAAGCTAGGGTGCACTTCACTATATACAGAGGCTATCTGGGCCAATGTACTACATATTATACTTTCATGAAAAATGCGTTGTATTTGTTGCTGTTTTCCCTACAGAGAGCAGGCTCCTCAAGGCCTGTTTCGTTCACTGTGTCTCTCTCATCCCAGGAACAGTGCCTGGCACACAGAAGATACTTGGCAAATATTTGCTGAACGAAGACAAGCATGACCCATCTGGATAGACCATGGTCCATTTAATCACCCTCCGTTTGGGGGCGTCTTGCTTCTGATTTTTCCTGACAGAGAAATGCAGTGAACTCTCATGCATTCACTGAAACTTTTTTGCTCATGCACAACTTATTTTTCTTAGAACAAATTCCAAGAACAGGGTATACATTTTTAAAAGCTTTCAATACATACTGCCAACTGACTTTCCAAAATGCCTGCATCAGAAGACTTTCACACCAGCAGTGTAGAGCAATGACCATTTCCCCACACCGGTGTCAACTTGAGTGATACCAGGAATCTGTATGTGTGCAGTTCCCCGTCCAGACAGCTCTTTATCAGGAAAAACCATAAAGGATTTCAGTACTTGTGATATCGGGGGTGAGAGGGACTCTTTGAAACAACATATTTCAAAGACGCTGGGATGCCAGGGGATACATGAGGAGTGTGATAGAAAAAGGAGAACCAGCAGGGAGAGGGGTGGCATTGGGCTGACCACACTGAGGGGGGTGTGTTACCGCCCTGCCCAGGGGTCGCTGGGTGGACCAAGCCAGGGCAAGCCCTCCACGTGCTTATCTGTGCCTCGTTGCTTTGCGACTCAACAGTCACGTACAGAATACCGCTCTGTGCAAAGCTCTGCACCCAGCGCTTGCTCCCAAGGCACCAGCAGCCCACTCTGGGAGATAGCTACACACTAAGAGTTCATGCACTATCATGATATAGACCAAGTATATTAGCTCTGTATTGTCGCTCCCCCTCTTCGTGGAGGAACGACACAGGACCCTGCGCTGTTCTTTCTTCTGCTCGGCCCTCCCCGGGTTTGCTGCTGGTTCTTCCCGGGTTGGCTACCGTCCCTCCACCTCCGTGGAGGGGCGGGCCCCCTGCCACTTTCCCCACTTCTGCGGGGGAGCGGCACACCGCCGGCCGGCTCTCTTGGGGGCTGCACAGGTGTTCCCTCAGATGTTCCTCTTAGATGTTCCTGGTGCATGTTGTCTCTCTCCTCCTTTATAGTCCTCTTCCACCAATCCCAACTCTGCTACCCACACGCCGAGTACGCTGCTCTCCTCCAATCAGGAGCAGGTCCTACAGTTTATTGGTTGAACTGGAGGCAGCTGTGTAGAAGCTGTTTCCTCCTCTCCCAGCGCCATATTGTGGGAGAGCAGATGCATAGAATAAGTCTTAATTCCAGTAACTTAGTCTAGTCCGAGTTGCTCCCAGTTGCTCCCCACACTGTATATGTGCACACAGATGTACAGCTTGCATACTGCATGGTGTGGAAATGGCACACGTAAGTCCCTTCTCCCTCGTAGTTCTCACATGGCAAGGTCGTTTTGCTTATTGTCAGAGTATTTGTAAAATAAAACCAAATTCTTCTTTTTGTGGTTACTCTAGCCTTTCCGATTAAACAAATCCTTACCATTGGCAAAGGGCCTGACAAGCATTTAGTATTAATTAATTCTTAGAAGTCTCTGGGGAGGAGGTAAGCATTCCCGGGAATTGACAGCAATGGATTGTTTCACTAAGTGGGAAAACCCTTCCCTAAGAT